GGGGCGGGCAGGCGCAGCCAGTCCCCGCCATTCCGCTCGCAGGAGGACATCTACCTGTCCCACGACCGCAATGTCCCCTACAAGTGGACGGCGCCAGAGGCCCTCTCCCACGGCCACTACTCCACCAAGTCCGACGTCTGGTCCTTCGGGGTGCTCCTGCACGAGATCTTCAGCAGGGGCCAGACCCCCTACCCAGGTACAGGGCCCCGCCCATGGCCGGGGTGGGCGTGGCGGGCCGCGGGCAGCCCGGCCAGCGCCCCGTGGCCCTGCCGCAGGCATGAACAACCACGAGGCCTTCCAGCGGGTGGAGGCTGGCTACCGCATGCCCCCGCCCCCCGAGTGCCCGTCCCCGGCGCACAGGCTGATGCTGTCCTGCTGGCACCGGGACCCGGAGCAGCGGCCGGGCTTCGCAGCCCTGCGGGACGGCCTCTGCAGCTTGGCCAGGTACGAGAGCCCCCCCTGACGCCCCCACCGCCGCCTGGGCGCAGGCCCCACGGCGGGATGGCGGGAGGGAGCCCAGCTCGGTCAGCCTGTCCCGGGGCAGCCGGCCTGGCAGGACTCGGGCTCTGGCTGCGGGAGACAGGGCGGCCGGCGCTGGGCGCTGCAGCCCTAGGGCCCAGGCTGGGTGCTCGCCTGGCCCCGGGGGCAGTGTCTGGACGGGGCTCGGGCGGCCCTCGGGGGCGCCCCGGCGAGTCCAGCCAGGAAGCGAACGCCATGGCCCTCCCGGCTCCACGGACGACAGCCACAGCCCTGCCCAGCTGAGGCCGCCGGCCCGGACCTGCCTCAGCTGACCCCTGGGGGCCACAGCCACGGTACCTGGGATGGACTCCTGTGGCTACTCAGCCTGGGCCAGCAGGGCCTACCCCAGGGACGTGGACGGGCAGCATGCCGTGCTCAGAAGACGCCTTCCTCCAGGGCTGGACTTTGCCCTCGCACCTCCCAGGCCCCCGCAGGGCGTGGCCTGCAGTGTGCGGCCTCTTCCAGGCCCGTCCAGGCCTTGGTGGAGGCCCCAGCCCGCAACCAGCCTCGGGTCCCGCCCACGGCACCCGGCCCAGTGGCCACCCTGAGCCCCCTCGTGCTGCCCAGCCCCTGGGGAGCTGGACCCCACACTCAGGCGGTGAAGCGGCACCCGCCCCCGGGGCCGGGGGTCAGCTGGGCAGCAGCCTCAGACCCGCTGTGCTCCTGGCGTTTATTTCCACGGGTGGGGGTGGGGCCCGGGGAGTAAACAGGCTTCTCTTGCTTCCTTTTGGCGTTTTGCTATTTTGAAGAAGGGGGTCAGGGCTTCTGCTGGCTGCAGCCTGCTGGTCCCGGGTGCAGGGCACCCCCAGACCTGGGGAGCCACTCAGGACGGGGGCCCAGGACTGGCCTTGCTGGGCAGGCCTCCGGGCTGCTTCCTCGTGGCTCCCTGCGCCTGGCCACAGGTGATGGCCCCACCGGTGGCCTGGGGAGGCTCCGGGCTGGAGCGGAGCAAGGGTCAGCGCGGCCCATGGCCTGCAGGTCCCCCCCCCCAGCCTCCTTGGGGGGCACTCACTGCTCTGGGGACTCGGACAGAGTGGCCATGAGTGGGAGCGTGGACTTCCCGAAGAGGAGGCTTGCCCACCCGTGACTGGGGTCCGCCTTGGGGAGACCTGAGAAAGCAAAGGGGGGCTCTGTCGCCTCCTCCTGCGGGACGGCCAGAGAGTGGCCTGCACTCACCGGGCCGGGGGGTAGCGTCCCAGGGTCCATCGGTGCTCCCGCAGGAGCTGCTGCGGGAAGTGGACCCCAGACGGCCTGCAGAGGGGCTCGATCAGTTGGGTGGGCACAGCCCGCAGCCAGCCCAGCAGTCCGCGAGGCCACCTCCTGTTGCCGGGCAGTGCCGGGGCCCCCGCAGCCTGCCCCTGCCCCACCGCGGCCCCAGGAAGGGGGCACCCTGCGTGCTGGCGGTGGCCGGCTCTGCTCACTTATGCCGGTAGTCGTGGGTGGCCACGAGCGGGCCGCCATGCTGTCGCCGGGTGCCGGGCAAAGCAGGGCGCGGAGCCTCTCTGGTCAGTGGGACTCCAGCGTCGGCGACTGCGGGTCGATTTGCCCAGGGGCGGGGCGCCCACCTCACACCCCACCCACCGCGCAGGGCGCCGGCG